CTAGATGATCTGTAAGGTCTATTCCAACCCTTAAATTCTATGATCTATGATTCTATGAGTCTATGTATGACCATTAATTTTAAAAATACGTATAAATATACAGATATTTACGGATAAACAATTCTGGTAAAGTTTGGAAGGTCAGCGGTTTGAGAACAGTCTTGTGCCATTGCAGCCAACTTGTTTCATTGTGCCTTACCTTGCTTTCACCTCCATTTCCCTTTCTTTCCCAGATATGCCTCAGACAGGGCTTGCGAAAGAGAAAACAATAGGACTACTAAATATGACATGGTAGTTCAGTTTATAGTACAGAAGTATTTATTCTGAGAAAGGTTCATTGCAGTTGGGCATTTTTGTTTCATTTCATTGGAAGCCAGGTTCATTCAGAAGGGATTTCCTTTGGTTTCATAAGATAGTAGTTCTCTATAGAAATCTGTTCTTCATAATAGAAGCTACTAACAAACAAGTGATCTCCCAGGTCCCAGTTCTCTCCAAATATGGTTATTAGAATAGTGAGCATAAAATGAATGCTTTCTCTCTTTCCTTAAAGCTTTTTTTAGCATTTTGCTTCAATGGTGCATTATTCCTTAAACCAGAATCCCTCATCACAAAGGATTACTTGATTTTTTTTTAAAATGTTGTGATTTGTTCCTAGTAAGCTTCTTGGAAGAAAAAAATAGTCTGAAATTTATGTAATTTTTATTTGCAACAGTTTTTTTAAAAATCTTAGCTAGCTGAAATTCTGAGTTGTCACAAGAAGCACTGCAGGATCCTAGAATTAACAATTTTTAAAAGTTATCATTGGAGTGTTGCAGTCTTAAAAATGACATAAGCAATGTTTTTATGTTTCAGTTTACAGAATCCTCCAGGAAGCAAGGCATTCAGAGTATTTGCTGTTGTTTGAATCTAGAAGTAAAGCTTAAACCAGACAAGTGAAACCAGATCACTTGGAGAAGAACAATAAAGGCTGTTTCTTATCATTCCAAAAATTTGTATAAAGCTGTAACATTATTGTACAGAAGATGTATACTGCTTTCCACCAAAAAGTTTAAATTACATATATATCTTAATGAAAAAAATCTGTAAAAATAAACATGGGAGAAAAATGCATTTGAAAATCTCTAATGATATATAACAATACTTTGAATCCTGTGTTAAATATTGCTATATTTTCTTAGCAGTTACTCCTATACAGTTAATTCAAAGCTCATAAATGTTCTTTGTTTTCTTCATCTGAATATATTATTATGGTGCTTTATATATGCCACTAACAGTAACCTTAAAACTATACCTTAGGGAGGCCTGAGTTTTTATTGCCAATGTACATAAAAGAAGCCATCCTAATATTTTGATAAAATAAATCATGCATTAAAGTAAAATAAAAACTTACATAACTTTTTGATGATTTACAGTAGCATTAGCCATGCAAGCATAAATGAAAAGCTATACTGTTCTCAGTTTCACACTAATAATAACAAGTACAAAAACCTATTTTGAAATAAAATGGAAAATATAAAATATAGGAAGCCCTGGGTCATATTAACATGCTTTCCTCTAAAGACACTTTTTTAAGAGATTAGGCCATTCATGTCTATTATTTCTTAAATAGGTTTATAAAATGTTTATTGGATGCTGCTAAGCTCTTTAGTTGAAATAACTAATTCATTATGGCCCAGTACTTCACAGATGCTCAACTGTCTTGGGATGGGTGAGTGAGAGACAGACATACACAACCTTGAAGGATCTGATGAAATTTTTGTATTGAGAAGTGTAGTAACCTGAAATTAAGGAGTAACCCTGCAGTTCTGCAGTGCACCTCTGCACATACACATGCTTTATTTTTGCTATGTGACTCCTTCAATTTACCTAAATTGTGGAAACATAGAATTGTACATATACATAGAAGTGCACAAGCTTGAGTTCTTGAGCTGTACACGCTATCAATATGCTATACATTAATATGAGGGTAAATGTTCAAAAAAACCAAAGAAAATGGTAACAAAGGCTAACCTTGCTCCTCATGACCTGGCAAATACTCCTGCAGGCCAGGAAGTATACTGGTATGAAGCCCAGTGACAATTATGTCATTTGTTGCTTCACCATTTAAAAAACTTATTTTATGGTGAACAGCTTGGTACATTAATTTTACCATATTATGGTATATGAAGAACATGTAGTGATGACACTATGTTTCTTTCTATGAAAAGTGTATTGGTGCTTTAAGACTGAAAAGCTGTTAAACTATTTTTGGTGTATTTTGTTTCTGTTGTTGAATTTGTTTCACTCTGACTTGTAAACTTATTCATATTCTTCATATTTCAGAATACTATATTCTGCCTTCTCTTTTGCTACATGTACTACCTCATGTAGTTAGGCAAGCTATGTTAGTTTTTTTAATCTGTTTGAATAAAAATAATTTACATAGTAAGAATACCTTTGAATGCTTTTTATCTTTGTTTGTCCTGCCTCAAGAGAAAAAAACAGCAGCCACCCAAAATGTACTTTTTTTTTTTACCTAAACATTAGAAATGTAGGACCAAGTAATAGACATAGTCTGAGGTTCTAAAAGCTGTAAAGGCAATTTAGACACATAACTTCCACTAATTGTATCAGAAGTGTTACGGATAAACCTTCTGCTCATTTTTACAAGTTTTGACCAGGGTCAAATTGATGAGGGAGACAAAGAGTCTGATGTATAGCCCTTTTTTTTTTTTGCAGGTGGTGGCAGGGGGCCATCAAAAGTAGCTTTTTTGCAATACTGGCATTAACCATTTTTCATGATTTAAACCAAAGCTCAAGTAGACTTTGACTGTGATGGATCTCCAAGTCAGTCAAAGGCTTGAGATAGACTTGCACCACCTTTTCTCAAAAGCACCAAAGTAGTAACACAGAAGGGTCTTGCAGTACCTGCAGTTGGGGTTATCAGAACATAAAGTGCAGTAGGGCCAGCTCTGAAATTAAGGACATGCAGAACCATTGAGGGAGACATTCAAAACAGAATGTTATGACTGCAACAACAGTGTCCCTTTCCACACAGGTGGGATGCTTCCTTGCAACCTTGCTTGCTATCAGTCAGCTCTCCATGTCCCCTGCCTGTCCCATCATCCCCAGCAGATGCCTCAGGATCCCATGGGAAGCCTATGGGGTGCTTCAGAGCCTGGGTATTGAGCTAGCTCCCTGCTCTGTGGACCAGGCAGAGAGGTGCACCCCTTCCTGTGGGCAGTCCAGAGTCCGTGGCGAGGAAAAGAAAAGACAGTCACACCTTCTGTCAAAACCACAACACTCACTTTGAGTAGATGGGTGAATGGAGTCCTATGTGGAGACACAGTTGCTGCACCAAATTTCTGTCTTTTTTCTCCATTTGTTCCTGGTACCTTTTTTTGTTGCTCTGCATATCTTTGCTTCCTCTCATCTCTCATCTGTAAAGTCCAGCCTACATTTCCTGGGACTTTTGTGCAAGAGGGCAGAGGTGGACCCTTGGGGCCATTACAATGAAGTTAGTGCTTGGTGGGAAGAGAAATGGGGGCTACCTCCAGCATATGTGAATAGTTGCTGTGAGCAGCTCTACTAACCAACACAGTGACAAGAAAGGGAGGTGAATAATTCTTTCTCCTCTCTTCTGTTGCACAAATTTTTGAGTCATGCTGCTTTTCCACATGTAATGACTATTCTAATACAAATATTCCAGCTAACATTGGCTTTTTGAGAAATTTTCTTCTGTATTTACTGTAAGTAATAAGTCAATGAGTAGACATTTCCAGACAGTTGTAGAGTGGGAGGTATTTCTGTCTGCACCAGAAGCAACTGTATGCCAGATGGTCACAACTAATTCACAGAAAGCCCAAAGGAGTAACTAGCAATATCGGAAAACTTGTTGCAGGCCAGAAAAAAAAAATCGAAGAAAGTAAATTTTTACATTCTGAAGAATTGTTTTGCTAACTGAGCTGTTAAAAAATTGTGTTCTCAACTTGAAAGGAAAAAAGTGATAATCAATAAAAGAATAAAGCTTAATTAATGATATTCATATTTAGTTTGCCTTCCAGGAAGGATCTAGAAGTAGCCAACAAGAATTATTAAAACTGATAGATAACAAAAAGCTGTTTTAGTACATTGATATTTGCCATTTATAGTTTTGAAAGAGCTAAAATGCCAAGCCCACTAAATACATTAGGCCTTTAAAAGCATATGTGAAGTAGCAAAGAGTACATAGGAACCTTTTCCCATGATCATCTTGTGGTATTTCCCATTAAGACTTGCTCCATGAGGAATCTTTTAAAATGAAAGACATAGGAATTATTTGGAGAGGAGTAGAGTATTTGTCAAGCATAGGTCACTTGCTTGGTGAGCTTTTCAGTAAGGACCAATTGAAGCACTCCTCTGTTATGCTTCATTCCTTCCAGTTGGAGTAGCAAATTTCATAACTAAAGTGTTAGTATGAAAGAAAGTGGTCAGACCCAAACAAATCTTTAACAGTTGCTCACCATTTTGATGACCATGTGAGGATACTTTAGTTTTAGGAAACTTGGGACCCATACTGATGTCAACAGACAGCTCACAGTACTAGCTGGACATAAACTAAGGAAACTAAGAAGCATTTCCTAAACTTTGTGGATACTGAGTTAAAGAGTTCACAGGCTTTCTTGTGTCTGATTTCTGCATAGAGGACAGTCTGATCTAGAAATCACACATAAAGTACTATTGGAACCAAGCCTAAAACACAGGTTGGGATACTCTGTGTGTAAGTTGTCAGCTTTTTAATTGAAGAAATAGTTTCAAGTTTTAGGCAAATGGCAGACTCTCAGCTGTCTATAAATTCTCAGTGGATTTGAAAGAAGGAAACTAACATCAGCTTTTCTTCATATGTATTGATACATATGTTCAGGAAGATGCACGGCACTTTGCTTCATACGGGAGAGATGTAACCAGAGTTGCTCACATAAACAGTGTCTTCTGTGTGGCAATTGCTTTTGAAGTGTTTTGCATTTGGCTTAGAAGTCAGATAACCCAGCTTCCTGTGAATACACAAGGGAAGGTTTATTTCCAGTAATTTCTGTAGTCATACAAAGGGTAAGATTTAGAAATATAAATATTTGGAGGTTCCAAAGATTATTCATAGAGTGCAATATTCTGTTTGGAAATGTATATAAATACTGTATGAAGTACTGTACTGTCACACTTCTATGGCTTAAGGCTTTTTATAGCATCTGTGGAACTCTAGGGAATTATACAATGAATGAAAAGCCTGAAGATTTTTTCTTCATTCAGTGTATAATATGCATCTTACAGAGCTTTAGATATACAAATGACAGCACACTTTAGTATTCAGAAAATTGCATATGATTTTATAAAAACATACATTGTGCATATGGGAAAAGAAACCATGCTGTCAACCTTAGTTTTAGCCTGTCTTTGCTGTCAGGAATAAATGATAGAAATAGTATTTTATATATGGTAATTTTTTATATTCTTGATATTATTGTTAGTCAAGGAGAAGTCCTTGTCATGACTAGTGAAAATACAATAAAATGTGATTCCTGCTCCTTGTTAACATAGAATGATAATGTGACACCTGAAATTTGCCATCAGCTGTTCAATGATCTGTGCTAAATGTCTTGTTCATCTTAGCCTGTTTGCTAGGAGACAGATGCCTACATAATTAAGCCATCATAGCATTTTCAAAAAGTATTATTAATGAGTGCTAATTTTTCAGAAGCTAGCAAAGCTTCCCAGTCAGACCAACTCAATATAATAATGCATAGGAAAATATGAGAGACTGAAGGAGGAAAGTAAAGAACATGCAACCAAAACAGCCAGTCATGATGCTCTATGTCTTACTATCCACACTATCCACCCTAGTTATTCAATTTCATGTCTGCCCCTAGTGCTGTATCCTGTATTGGTTTTGTCCTTACTAACAACGGGGTTAGTGGCTGAAGGCTAGCAGCAAAACTGTTGGTTAAGAGCTGATACACTGGCCAAACAACACTATGTCTTTTAATAGGCACTCAAAAGACTTTGGTTGCCAATAGCAGTAGCTCTTTGGCTTTTTACTTTCCTAATTTAGTTTAAAGCATAACCATTATAACAATACTAGCAATAATCTCCTTGAAATTTTATGTAATATAAAGTCTGCTTATGCAGTTTAACAGTAATTGGTCTGTTTGCAGTTATTTCTGATTTTATATGACTACTAAATACAAGAAGTTGCTTTAGATTTGCTCACATATCTGCAAGCTGAGAAACTCATAAGACTTTGTAGTAATACTAATTATTTTTAGTATGCTCAAGAAAAAAAAAATGCTAGGAGTTAGTAAGACTTCCAAACTTAACCTACAGAGTTTTTAAAAAAAATGTTTCAGTTGCTTAAGCTTGTTTACATGCAATGTAAATAGCAAGCTGGCTCTGACTTCTTACAAATTACTGCTACTGTACATCTCAAAGATAAACTGGAAGCAGTTGCTAAATAAATCTCCCTGTAGTGAGTTCAATCTTGATTCCTTATT